GTACCATGGACCGCTAAAAGAATGAACAAATCTGTGTAGGAGGAAGTACAGCTAGAATGCGCCTAGGAAGCAAGAATGGTGAGAGTGGTCTCTGATACTTTGGTCATGTTGTCAGAAGGGACAAATCCCTGGACAAGAATATCACACTGGGTAAAGTAAAGGGTTGTCAAAAAAGCGGAAGACACTCAACAAGATGAAGTGACTCACTGACTGCAATGATGGACTCAGGCGTGGCAACAATTGTTAGCATGGCACAGAACCGGGCAGCATTTCGTTCTTTTGTACATAGATAGGGTTGCTGTAAGTCGAAACTGACTCAGCAGTACCTAACAAGAACAGTAATAGAAAGTCATTGTATAATAAAATTTTGGCAATTCCTACCCACACACACTCTTCTCTACCTCTCATAGCAAGACTCTGTTTCACATTTATCAGAACACTAGCCCGGTTTCTGGCTCTTTGGTCAAATCCTGAGATTCCTGTTACCCGATGTTTTCCAATTTCTCCCTCTTGTCATACTCTTGAATAATGCTAAAGAGTAAACTGTACCCTTGTTTGGTATAGTATGTAAGACAATAATAATACCAATAATGGTAATGATGAAAATGATTATAGCAAACATTTAGAGTTCTCTCTATATTCCAGGGAATATGTATAGTACTTAGAGGACCAAAGTACTATTATAAATCATGTTTCACACATGAAGAAATGGAGGCACAGAGAAGTTAAGGAATTTGTCTAAGTAACAGTTTATCTTAAGGGTGTATAATCTTAACCACTATATTTTTCATACCGGGGAAAATAGCCCAGAAAGTTGAGTAATAGTTAAGTAATTGCAAATTAAGTCACCTGTATCAGTGACTCCTTCTAACAGAAATACCTGAGAAACTTAATTTCAAGCCCACTAAGTATGGCTTTTATCTTAGCATAATATTTAGCCTGTTTCCAGGCAAGAATATAAGAGAAGTTTCTCAACCTCTTAAGCATTATGATATTGAAGAAAATTCAGATAAAATATAACCTTGCAAAAATGACTCTTACTTTCCTTTTTATTGTCGGCACTTTCTTTGGAGGAAGTAGCAGAGTTTATATCCATGGACTTTTTTGGCACAAAAGAAGATAAGGGAGTGAAGTGGATTTGAGGATAAGACAGGGAGGTAAATTTTGAGGAGAACATTACCCAAATGAGGGCTTCAGCAGGACACTCAAACCAACACCAACTGCCACTGAGTCAATTCTGACTCATAATGATCTTATAGCACAGAGTAGAACTGCACCATAAAGTTTCCAAGGCTGTAAATCTTTATGGAAGCAGACTACCTCACCTTTTTCCCAGTGAGCTGCTGCCAGTGGGTGTGAACTGCTGACCTTTTATTTAGCAGCCAAATTGCCTTAACCACTGTGTCATCAGAGCTGCTTTTCAGTGGGACAAGTTGAGTATAAATCAAAAAAGATAGAAAACTTTAAAGATATGAGAATCTGCTAAAAATAGTATGCCTTTGAGAAAAGATGTTTTTAAAACTTGAACTTGAGAAGGGTGACATTCATCCTTTGAAGAGATAACTTCATGAAAGCATCTCCATGCTTCCCTGCAAATTATTTCCACATTCAAAAAAACTCCTCTAGTTCACCTAAAGGAGGAGCTCTGGTAGCACAGTGCCTAAGGCACTTGACTGCTAACCAGAAGGCTGGC